CTCTCTCTCTCTCTCTCTCTCTCTATCTATCTATCTATCTATCGTTCTATATCTATCTATCTATCTATCTATCTATCGTTCTATCTATCGTTCTATCTATCTATCGTTCTATCTGTCATTCCACCCATCCATCCATCGATCGTTCTTTCATTTTATCTATCTATCGTTCTATCTATCGTTCTATCGTTCATCTTGCAGCTCACTCTAACAGTACATAAAACTCTCTATCATGTATCAAGGAGGTTGCCAGAGGAAGAATCAATATTCATTTGTTGTTTTTTCTGTGGGTCACAACATGTTTATCCTCAGAAGCCCTGACAGGATGTGTCTGATTTGCTTTTTATTAGCACCGTGAGGCAATAGCAGCGGTAATGGGAAACTGAATGATTGAGTAAATTTGATTGATTTAATCTGATGTATACAGGAAGAGTAAATATTTGCATGTGCTCTGAAAGTAGCCTACCATGTTATTGTGAAACATATTAAATGGAAAATTGGAGTATCTTAAAACAAATATGTTTACATTTTTTGAGTATCTTAAAAAATGTATACAAGCTGAGATTTGAAAATATATTGCAAACAAGAGTTTGATTGTGATATTTCAAGTGACCAACAATGATCCAGATGTCAGGCAGGATGTGTGAACAGTGTGACCTGTGTCTGCTTTTGCTCTGGGGTTTTCTTTCATCTGAACCCCAGTGATCAGTAATCCACCCTCAGCATCAGACCCCAGTTTGATTTCACCACAGTTGACATCTTTATAAAATATGCCCACAGTGTCTCGAAAATGCAAGGCTTTTGTTTACTATTAAACCTGTTGGTGAAGCCTGTCTGTTCTTAAAAATATTTTGCCCTTAAATGTGATTGTAAAGACCCGTTTGTACTGAGTCATGCTGTGGGTCGCTAGTATGTGTTTCTGTTGTTTCTGGATGTTATTGGTGGGCTGCATAGCTGCTGTTGAAGATCTGGTAGCAAATGTATTGCCGTTAAATTAAGATGTCAGTCTGTTTTGATAAGGAATCAGATTTATTTCTGCAGGGGGAAGCATTTGAATATAGCAGCGCTGCATAATGCATCATATCATGAACAAGATGAGCGATTATCAATGCGTGAATCTAACTCACTCAGAATGCAGACAATTTCTGACACGGTTTTCCACAATTTATTTTTTATTATATCGATGTACAGTATGCAGGTAGAAATAATAATATGTGACGTGCTTTATCATTCTGAGTTGCATGTCACAGAGCTGTTTATGGAAAGATGCTGATAGAATGATTTGTGAATGTTTTATGTTTAAAACAAAGTCTCAGCTTTCAAATTATGTGAATTTTATTATGAAATTATATTATATTATATTATCTAGTATAACTAACAAAAATACATAATCTATCATATAATCACACAACAATGTACACCTCTTCGTGAACCAGTCTGACAAATTCAAAGGAACTGAATTGAATCAAAAGATTCATTCACGTTTTTGGCACTTTGCAGTCACAAATGTAACGAAAGGGTCAGGAGAAATGTATCGTAGTAAAAGAATAAATTTTCAGCAAAAATATTTATACTTGAGTAAAGTACAGATATCCAAAACTGTACTTAAGGTACCGTACTTCGTTACTATACATCACTGGAAATTTTGCCCATTCATCCAACAGAGTATTTGTGAGGTCAGGCACTGATGTTGGATGAGAAGGCCTGGCTCGCAATCTCCATTCCAGTTCATCCTAAAGGTGTTCAGTGGGGTTGGGATCAGGGCTCTGTGCAGGCTAGTCAAGTTCTTCCACACCAAACTCATCCAACCATGTTTTTATGGGCCTTTAACATAAGGTTGCAACATAAAATGTGATAAAACTATGAAATTCTTTCGAAAGGCACTTTGTGTGTATGTGTGTATGTATATAACATAAACATGCACATATAAAGTGCCTTTCGAAAGTATTTCATAGCATTTTACAAAATGCAGGTCAGGTATAGAACAGTTAATTGTTGACAGTAGCATCTGTGTTCCTGAGACTGACTACACAAGAAACCAATCCTCAAAGCTCCACTGAGAGTCACTGGACACTAGTCGCTGAAAGTCAACAATTCTTACTGAAAATGAATGACATCTGGTTGCTGTGTCTGCAGGTTGCTGTCACTGTGAACGGGGTTTAAGTTTGACAGTCTCTCATGGAATTTTCACACTGGCAGTTTGATTGGAAAAACCAATAGCAATAAAAACATTAAATGAGAGATTATCCACAACAATGCAAACTTTGACGTTGAATTTTAATAAATCAGTACGCTCAGAGAACTGTTTGATGTCGTAATCCTTCGTTGGAAGTTGCATTCACTCTATATGGTGCTGTTGAGACAGTGCTGCAGTCTCTCTCTGCACTAGTAATGCAGATTTGAGTGATGTGTTCTCCACTTGTCTTCCTACTGTTCTCCAAATGCCTGGGGCTAGTCAGAGAGCCAACATATGGCCACCAGCCTCGGTGCATCTATGGAGAGAAGACAGCTGGCTGAGGGGGAGGAAAGAGAAGAAATGTGAAAAGTTTCTTGAAAGCTTATAGGATAACCTTTACCTCACGTCTCACATTAGTGCTCATTTCACCTGTGGGTCGGTTCAATCGAGTGGAAGTACAGGCCTCTGAGCCGCATCTTTGAGTCACAGCTTCGGTTATGGCCATTAGCATGGTGTTCCTATCAGATTGGATCAAAACACCAGGGAATACAGCCTGTCAGAACTGACAAACTGTTATTTCAAAGCTTTCATTTTCATGCCATCCCACTTGATAAGCAACCAGGCCTTGTTTACGGGGAGATTTTAAAAATAATTAGAGGGAGCGTGGTCTAAAGGGTTTGGCCCTTTGATCAGTATGGGGGCAGTGATGTTTAAAGACACACCAATCTTTTCACTTCATCTCACCCAGTGTAATCCACAGAAGAACGCAAGCAGGATCCTTCAGAAACGTTGCATGACTGTAGACTGACAGTTACTTTGTATTTCAGAACAAGGCTTTATTGTTTTGATGGATCTGTTGTTAGTAGTAGTTTGTTTATATATATATATATATGCCAATTGAGTATTTATCAGTGTAAGCATTGGTTCAAGTATTTACTTATTCAAGGAAAGCAAACTGTGTTTAACAATAAACATTTTTTAAAATATAAATTATTTATAATTTATAAATTAGAAGAGTAGTTGAAATATAAATCAAAAAGCAACAGCAAAAATTAAGTAAACATTGCATAAAGTTTTTCAGATATTTAAAAGCAGTCGTATAACAGTGGTTATTTACTCTTATGTACTTTTTACATTAGTATTAGTGACTGTTAGGTCTATTTAGCTGCATAATTTATTTTTTATTTCTATTTTTATTTTTGTCGCATCTATTTACATTCACTGTGGACATACATTATGTTTACATTAATACCTTGGCAAGATTTTGAGAAATTTAATTTGCTTGGTACTGAAGTACCACTACATTTGACATCCATAATTTAAAGGGGTCATATGATGTTGCTAAAAAGAATATTATTACACTGCTCAAAACTCAGTGGCAAATTCTTTTAATATGAAAACGTACTTACAGGCTGTGAGTCAGAAGCGCCAGACTGTCCTTGCAAAGTTGGAACTGCCCCACTTTATAGAAACAGCCATTGTGTGTAGACAGCATTGTAGTCCAATATCCCAGGATCAGGAAACAGTCCTCCATAAAATGCACTGGACACATCTGAATATTTGGGTTGAACTGATCTGGAACAGTGTTGTAAATACAACTTAACCACTGATTTCTAGTTGTGTCCTCTTTTGGAAGGCCAAACAAAGTAGTTTCGCTTTCACACCGAAACACACAGCGTCTCCACGACATGGCGGCGGCGGCAGCAACAATACTACAGCGAGAATCAAAGTTATGCCTTCTTTCTTTGCGTGAACATTTGGGTGGCGTTATGCAAATCTTCCCACACAGTAATGTAGACATGGGGGCGTGTTTAAATAAGGCGTTTTAGGAAGGCGTGGTCGAGTCTTAACTTTTATAAAGAATATCTCTTTGGGTTTGAGACTTTAGTCTTTGCAACTTTAGGGATCTTATCTATTCACGAACAGCTTGTAACACTCCAAAGAGAAAGGAAAACTTGAAATCGCATCATATGACCCCTTTAAAGCAGACTAAGCAAACAATGAAAAATGACTGGTTTGTATATATTGTGGTGAGGTGATATAACCATTCGTTTGTGTTTCAGCCAGCTGCTGAAAGATAATGTGGATAATTAGAGATAGTGTGTTCCTCTACATGGGCTGCACCTGCCAGCCAGAGGCAGATGTAGTTTGGCAGGGCTGTGGAATCAATAGCTGCCATTTGTTTAAACGTCACACGCTGACAAAGATCAGAAGGGAGCAGGAGCCTGATGTGACGCCTTGGCTGGGGTGACTCTGGCAAGAGATGTGACAGACATGACCTGATCTGTGCCTGACATTGATTTGAGAATGAGAATTGCTATGCGTTTGAGTGGTGTTTGTTAGGGTCAAAGTCAGTATGTATCAAACACCAACTGTGTTCGTGTGGTCTTGAATTGCCTTTTGCAACCAGTCTTACTTCTGTAATATGTGAAACAGGACATTCAACCAAAAAAATATAGGGTGAGACTTGATTTATTGGATGGTAAAAAGTGTTTTAAGGCAGTTCACACCAAGAACGATAAACATGATAACTGTAACAATAACTACTTTAGCGTTCACACCAACGGACATAACTTTCTGTCTGTTGCACATGGTGCAGTTATGTCATCTGTCGCTTTAAAGTGCCCCTATTATGGAGTTTAAAAAAAAAATACCTTTCATGTAGTGTGTAATGTAGTTGTATGTGAATG